TCTATCAGGGCGCTTGGTGGCAGAGTGGTTAATAGATTGGCTTCCGAGCCTGGGGTCCTGGGTTTGAATACAGGTGAAGACTGGAATTTTTAATCTCGGTATTTTCGTGGCGCCCCAGAGTCCACACAACTCTAATTGGTACCTGACTTTAGTTGGGGACTGTAAAGGCGGTCGGTCGTTGCATTGGCCACATGACAGACTGCTTGTTAACCGTTGGCCAAAGAAACAGATGACCTTAACATCATCTGCCCTTTAGATCGCAAGGTCTGAAAAGTGAAATTTACTTTTACTTAGAATCTCTTTCAATGGCAGGCCCGTTCATTCTTTCATGGTTCTGGTACTGTTCTCTGAAGGAGTGTTTTTGTGAGCCCTGAGGACCTCGTGATATGGCCATACCCTTTAAGCTTGCGTTTTTGTTTTGACAGTGGTCAGCAGGTCATCGCGGGGCCCAAATAGATAAAGGAAATTGACGAACCCGAATTTCTCAACATTTTAAGTATCAGCTTAGTATTTCAAACATAAATCTCGAGAGATCAATCAATTGTATTCTAACCCTCGAAATGACATGTTTGATATTGTTTTCAGTAGCTCCATCGCATTTTCTTTGTTATCTGTCTTCTGTGCTAACTTTGATAGTGAAGTGTGTGGTTTTTCTGTCGCACCGGAAGTGCCTGGGCCTTGTCGAGATAAATTAAGCTTGAGATGTGACCTTTTCTTGCACTGGCCTACTACGTCACAATTAAGATGACGGCTCTGATGAATGGCACAAGGTAGGCGGGGGTATTACGTTTCCGCCGGACAAACATTAGGCCCATTATTATTTATATCCTACAAACCAGCGCGTTCTCTATTCGACAAAGTAATTTACTCACGCATTCACTCATTGCCAACTGCTCACTCATCATCTTGGACTGTCGAGTGACCATTCCTGGGTCACTTCTGCTTATCTCGTGCTCAGGCTAACTGCACTACACTTCGGCCACAGTGGGCTATTATTTGGACATGATCTTTACTTTACACTCATTGATGCATGATTTGTTTTATTACAAGTGTGCACATAAATATTTATGTCTTCACGAAATTCTGCAATAAGATTAACAAATTAACATTAGCAAGTAGGCCCTAATGATAAAAATTAAATATGATCAATCGTGATAAGCCGAAGATAAATTGGGCACGATTGTATCAACAAACTATCATCGTCTCATTAGCTCCCCTCTTTCCACTAAACTGTTTTGGATCTACGCCTCTGTACTACTTAACATAAATAAAGCTTAATAAAAAGTTCTCCCTGGATCATCGCCTCTGTAAGTGTACGCGCAGACACCGTTGCATTAACAACTCTCACAGCTTTATGTCCACCTATGTAAGTGTAAGAGTGGACATCAATTTGTATAAAATCTCTGACGCTAACACGTCCACCTGCTAGTAACGAGTAGTGTGTGTATTAACCGTCTAGCGCAGGAGCTGGAGTTTAAACCCATATCAGTTGGACTAGATTTTTATTCTGGATTTTAAAAGACGTGTTTTCATTCTATTTCTCAGTTGAACTGTAGATTGAAGAGCTGGTTTGAAGATATAAAAGTAAGGAAACATTGACCCCATTTTTACGAAGATTATTAATTCCACTTTGTCCGTCTGTATTTACTAAACTGCATTTTTAATGTCATTAGGCTGGTTAACAACTAAGCCGCTCTAGGCTTATTATATTTGAATTGATTAAAACTTGAATAACTTCTTTTGTGAACAAAACTAAATATAACTTTTATTATAATATAGTCAAAAATCAAGCTGATATAAAATAAATGTTGTAGACTTTATTCACAACCTTTCAGTCACACATTGTGGAAGTATGTGCCCTAACCAAGACAGCTTGATATTAAGGTAGAGTGGAGTATTAGTTAGATATTGTAAGGAGCCAATGGTACTCCGTGGGCCTAAATGAATAGAGTAAATTCTAAAATCTTACAACGCCGAAATACCGTCCCATTGTCGGTACTGGCCAACAGGGCATTGGCCCATATAGCCAGTCCGCACTGGTAGTAAGATCTACTTATTTAAAGCTGTGGGGGCTGTACATGTTGAGTCTTCCCTCTTAGTACGTTTTGTACACACTTTGGCGCCTTCTTCCTATTCTCGGATCAAGTTGAACTTTTGCATAATTAGTCATATTAGATAACAATATACAAATCAATTTAAAAATTAATCAATTCATGATGATTAATTTATATACATATTACAAAGGGAGATAATTCCTTCTTCCTGCAGAATGAAGATGAATGTCAGCGATTTTGTTGTCTTCCTATTTACTGGGCTTTATTTTTTTTGTAAAGTTGATAAACATTTTTTTTTCTTAGTTTTTGTTTCACTTTCTCTATTGCTCTATTGGGCTCAAAGTCATTGAAGGTTAAAGAGTTAAATAGCCTTTGAGTTCGGGGGTACATTAAGAGTAAATACGTTAAGACATTTACGACCAACTTAATTCACCATCTCATTGTAGACCGAGATAGGTCTGTTAACATTCTCTCTTCGCCTAGCAATAATGTCTCTTTGGGTGTCCAGTGTGTCTCGCGAACTTTACAAGTGTTCTCCAGCTGTGTCTTTCAGAACAAATGGGCTGAACAGTTAAAGATCTTCAATTTTAAATTTAAAATGTTTAGAAAAACAAGAAGGTTGGCCAGGGAGAGTTAGAGATGAGATTTCAATTGAAAGTACTTGCAACTACTTTACATTTATTTATTTTTTAGTTCATTTACAGCGTTACGTCACAGAATAATTGAAACCAAAATAAATTGTGACATTTCTTTCAACACTAAAAAAACAACTCCATCTTGAGTTTCTTTTTTTCCTTTGCCATAGTGAAACTTGAAAAAAAAAAAGAGCTTTTCAAGTCATTTTGATTCCATGTGACATCGTGGGAGTTCACCGTAAAATCTATTTCAAAATTAAGCTCCAGTGCTTTATGCAACCTCTAATAGTGTTTCTATTGCAAAAACTTTGAGCCCGTAGCGTAAAATCAATACACGTTAGGCCCAGGGCTTTTACTTTCTCGCTACAGTTGTTGCCCTTGCTTTTACAGCAGGTAATTAAATTCTAATTGAGCATTTTAAATGTGTCTTCTCTTCTAACTAGAGAGATGGACAGCTGGAAGGAGGCAAAGAAAATGTGTGGCTCAAGAAAAATATCTCGTTTTGAATTTTTATCATAATTTATAAGCCATTTCTACAGATCAGTAAAAAAAAAAAAAGGTTGTAAAGCTAACCAAAACAAGAACCCTAACCTAGATACGCTTTACAAAGTTTCTTTATCAGTCTGTATAATACGTCCAATAATAATACGGAGGTTCGTCTTCGAGTTCAAAGTTTAAAGAGGAATGCAGTATTTCCCGTGGCTACGCAGCCCCAGCTGTCACCTACAAATTTTGCCACATCCGGGGCAAGCATAACCATTGTCCGCCAGTGGTTGATTGAGATTTTCTTTTCGCCGTCTGTGTCTGTCCTTGGCAGCTGATCTTCTTTTGGTCTCAAATATAATACATCTAGGGAAACTAGTAAACACATGCATTTGTTGTGAGTTAAATATTTGTTAAAATGATCACTTCATTTCTACTCCAACTATATCTCATTTCAAGTTGAATCTTGTGTTTAGCTAAAAGTTCTATGCCAGTTTGCTCCTAAGGTCTGTTTAACTTTATTTCAAGTTATTTAAAGTTCTACATTTAATATAAAATAAGCCCTCATCGGATTATTGTACTTCAGTGAAGTCCAGTAGGGCGTCGGCGCCGTAGGCGCCATTATCCCGTTGATGGTTAGAAAGGCTTTTATCCAACCACCAGGCCTGGACATGGGGCTCTTCACCCCTGTCCTGCCTGAGGGCACCCAACGATAGGCGGCCATATCGGTTGACTGGGCAAAACCGGGCCGTGCCGTGTACACAGCGCACCGTCCCCGGGTCCACTCGCTATAAGTGGCCGAGAACAGTGCTGTCTGCGGGGAGCTTGTCTCATATTCCTATACTGTAACCGCCACTATTCCGTGCAGGGACCGCCACTCCAGCTAACGGGACACTGATGACGGCCCCCATGTGGAACGGCGCGGCGGACTTTTTGGACTGGGTCCCGGGCGTTCTTTCCATCCCAACCCCGAGTGAGAGAAAAAAAACAAAAGCTCACCCAGGGAAGCCCGGCCGGGCCTGGTTCGCTACTCGTACTTAGCCTATCTAGTCTCCACCCACTAGACGTTTCCACCGGAGGGCCACGCTGAGGCGACGGGTAGCTGGAATTCCTCCGGGATTACTGTACTAGATGTTTGGAGCAACAATCCAACGACTGAGTAAAGGTAAACATTTGAATCTAAAAGGAAATCTACTGCCAAAAACAGGCATAGGAAAAAAGAACTTAAACCGACCATGGGTAGACAATGGTTATGTTTGCACTGGATCACAGCTAGGTCTTTATAGCTACAAAAAAATACTGCATTCCTTCTTAATCTACTGTCTGTATAAAATATAAATTTGTTATATAGATAAGTTATACATCTAAGAAGGAAGAACTTCACTTGTTTTCATCTATATGGTGATCTGGGAGAACAGTAGGAGGGGTCACAATGCTGATTGTTCCTCCTGTTGTAATGTGAGGAAGAATTCTTAATTCTTTCCCATCTTATTAGTAATGATTTCTATTAAGTAAAAAACTATATTGCAATAGAAGGTTCATTCTTGACAGCATGTGACTCTAGAAATTGTATCAAATTTGACTTTTGATTATACCCTGAATAGAATTTTCTAGGTAAAAATAAGACTCCTTAATTTAACAACCATAACTTCTTTTCAACTAAAGCTGCAGCCATAATTTAACAATCATAACTTCTCATCAAAGTTTGATTTAGCCATAGTTTAAAACAAATCCCTTTTTGACATAGAGCACAGCTAGAATAAACAAAATACAACAAATAAAATAATTTGTATTGCTATAGTGATTCAACAAAAATGAAATGAGGTTAAAAATTATTGGAATACAAAATATTTATTGAAATACAAAAAAACAAACTTTGTTGGAACATTTATTTATATCAAAGAAAATATACATATAATTATTATAAAATAATAGATGATATTACAGCACTCAACATTCTGCCATGTGGTGTGTGGACAGTGTGGTGTGTGGACTATGTCTTGTGTGGACAGTGTGGTGTGTGGACCATGTGGTGTGTGGACCATTGTTTTCTTGTGATTGTGAGTCAACATTTAAAAAAAGAAAGAGGGAGACAATTTTGAAATGTTATCAAGTTTTCTTATTACAACCAAAAGCTATTTCTTTATTTCTGAAAGAATGTGATGCTAAAAGATTATCAAACAGTAAATGAAAAGGAAACAAATATGCCTGATAGAAATCATTCAGTTTTCCTTGGGACTTTCTAGACGTGTTCTTAGGCCCTGTCTGTATCATTGTGTGGGCTACCTGATTGACTGTATGTATTTCAAAATTGACTGGAGATAATTTGCTTTTAGTGCTTATATGGAAGGAGATAAAAAAGTGGAGTCTACTAAAGGGATTTGAAAACTCCTTTGCAGCAAAGTTAAGATTTTATAACATCATAAAATATATAACATATTTTATATAATATCACTTATTGTTTTGTTTAAAGGGGGGTAAGTATTACAAAATGTTCATTGAGCCCTTGTATGATGATAGAACAGCTGGTTGCAATACCTCAACATAAGTACTGGCCTTTTTCTTTTTGTCAGGGTAGAAATTAAAGTTCATTTGCGGTATTCATTTCTTTTCCTGAGACTGGTCATCCATGAGTTGGTTCCTTACTTCAGTCAGGATGTAACCTAACTTATTCTGTCCCCGCCATGTTTTCTTGTCATGAGCCTTAGGATTAGATGCACCTAAGCCAATGCCCCAGATAGTATCTCTAGGACTTGCCTCAACCAATAATTTGGGAAAGGTTTTGAAGAGTTTTTCTTTGAGATCCTCATTTTGCTGAAACTACAAGAACAGAAAGAAAAGAAAAAAAAAAGGTAAATTAAAAAGATAATTGTTTCTGTATCAAATAAAAATAAAAACATTCTGTAGATATAAACTTACATTAGTTAAGACATTAAATTTTAATCAAATTCAACAATGAACATATGATTTATGAATCTAATGCCTATTTATTTCTGGTGAAATGGTACAAGACATGTGCCAGCAAAAACATTAGAACAAAATTAAAACTTGTCGGCACTAGGTAGATAAAAAGCTTGCAGCATCTTTAATAAAATCAGTGAGAAAATGTATTTAAAACAGAAGTACTAGAGTTCAGCTTCAATCTAATAATAGTTCAGCAATACATTAATACATTATGCAGAAAGAAACTAAGACTACTTGAATGCTTTCACCAAAGGTGGCAAGACTGCACTACAAACAGCGATATCCTTGAGAACTCCAGTATGGACAGTATAGAGGGACTTCTTATGGTCTGACAGTTATGCTAGGCAGGGCAAGTATCTCATATGGGAGACGAACATGTGCCAAAAGCAGTATTTTTGGTGAGCTGAAAGGTGGCCGACGTAATAGAGGTGACCCCACGGAAACTTGCTTTAACTGACATAGAAGAGAGCACCTGGTTGCATGTGGCTTCAGAACAAGACAGCTGGAGGTCACTTACAAAGGCCTCAGGAATATACGTTTGAGACTGAAAGAAAATCCGATGAATTAACCACCGGCAGACAATGGTTATGGCTGCGCTGTTTTGTGGCAAAATATGTAGGTCACAGCTGGGGCTGCAAAGTCACAGGAAATACTACATTCCTCATTAATCTTTGGACTTGAAGATAAGCCTTATTAAAAAAAATTTTGAAACACATATTTGAGGCTATTTCAACAGTAGATTACAGCAAACACATAAGCTTGTTTAATTGACATTAATTTGGTTCTGGTTACAAATTCTCTTTTTCCAAACTTTGTAAGACAGTGTAGGCCACCATAACAAACAATCAAACTTGGGTGACTTGCATAAAGATATTGCACACAACCTCAAGCACATAAGGTTAATATCAATAATAGGCTAAGCTGAATTAAATAAATAAATGGCTCTAAATCAACACCGATAACAGTAAACTCAGGTGTACCTCAAGGAACAGTCTTGGGTCCACTACTATTTTTAATTTATATAAATGATTTACCAAATTGCATTACTTCAGTCAGATTATTTGCAGACGATGGCATAATATATAGAACAATAAAAACAACACAAGACACAGATATTTTACAAAGAGAATTAGATGAATTACAGAAATGGGAATCAAATTGGAGCATGTCTTTCTACCCAGAAAAATGTCAGTTGTTAAGAGTAACAAAAAAACTAAAACAAATTAATTCCACTTATCTTATTCATGGCAAACCAGTAACACAGACTAAAAACGCAATATACCTAGGTGTTATAATAAATAAAAACTGTCATGGAATCCACATATTGACGAAACTTTTAAAAAATCCAACAAAGCATTAGGGTTTATTAAAAGAAATTTCTATAAATCAAATAAGAACATAAAACTAAAATGTTATTTAACCTTGGTTAGGCCAATAATAGAATATGCATCCTCCGTTTGAGACCCCTCAACTCAAGAAAGCATGAAGAAACTGGAACAGACACAAAATAGAGCAGTGAGATTCATAACAAACGAATATTCACATTTGACTAGAGTAACACCTTTAGTAAAATCACTAAATTTAGAAAGCCTTCAGGACAGAAGACTCAAAAGTAAAGTAGCAATTATATATAAAAACACTGAACCATAATCTTCAAATACAAAAGCAAAATTTAATAAAATACTCTGAAAGACACAAAGATAAAGGCACATTCCTTGTCCCATGTGCTAGGACAAATTTGTACAAATTCTCCTTCTTCCCTAGTGCTATTAGAGCATGGAATAGGTTGCCTGAGCTAGCCAGGAAAACCAGTGACTTGGCAGAATTTAAGTCATTGGTTAATATGCATGACTAAATGCATGACGCATAGGACGTAATCATCTTATTTGAAGTAACGTCTGTATTATATAAGATAAGATAAGAATTTAGGTACTTACTTTAGCTATTGAAGCTCTCTTGACAATGTCTTCACATTTCGATTTCCATATTTTCTCATCAAAATTTGAAACTTGTCTTCCAAATTTCTTTTGTTGATTGGGATTAGGAGCAGACAAAATCTTCAGTTGCATTTCTGTGTCAATGAACAAAACTATGCCAAGAAAAAAAAACAACACATATAATTTAAGAAACAACAATCAGAGAAAAACAAAACAACACCATATTTTTGTTTCAAACAAATGTTTGTATCTGCAATCAAATTCTCACTTTAAAAACATAAAGTTACATAAAAGTAAACACAAGTAGAAACTAAACCTGAATATTAAAAAATTATTGTAGTCTAAAATGTGATTAAATTTTTTAACATCTTGTTCAATGATGGATTTTGTCTTTTAGTCTGCATTTGAACATTGAAACATTATGTTGATGGTGACCAAGTTGTACTTCATAGTTTGTAATTTTGAAGATATTATGTCCATCATTTAATGAGTAATTCAATTTATAAAGAAACTGGAATGATTATTTTTATATTATTAACTTTCTACCCATATGGAAAAAAGGGTCTGATGGATAATGCCCACATGATCAATTAATAATTAAATAATTAAAATGGGAACATTTTTTTTTTATCTAATAGTCAAATAGTTTGATTAAATATTGTGCTAGTTGAAGCTCAACTTTGCTAAGCATATAAATAAGAAGTGGTCTATTAATAAAAATCATCCCAAAGCTAAAACTGTTAGAACTCAACCTTGAAACATTAACTTGTGCTTGGTTAAGTTAGCATTAGGATATAGAAGTGTGTAGACTTACAAAATTGAGGACTTTAAATAATTAGTAAAAGAGGTAGACCACTGAGTTATTATATCATATAGCTTTATTATATCATATAGTTAATAGTTATATAATATCATACAGTTAATTAATATCATACAGTTATATCACATAGTTATGTTATATCATAGAGTTATATTATATCATATAGTTATATCTATATTATAAAGTAGAATGTGAGGTGTATGTATGTATGTATGTATGTATGTTACTTATAGACATCAAAACCGCTTGACCAATCTTGATAAAACTAAGCAGGAATGTTCCTTGGGTACTAACTTAGACCGTAGTGTATGTATTGTAGCCCTAAAACAAACTTAAGACCCTCAAAAAAAATAAAGTTGTCCGACTATATTACAGCTATAGTATTTTATGGATCTAGGCCATGGTCAACAATGTTGACATGAGAAAAGATCGAAAGCATTTAGGCCTAGATCTAATTTTAAGAAATACACTTTGCGCACATAGTTTTTTACTTTGACACATGAAAATAAAAAAGAAGATCCATTGATTTCATTATGTAATAAAATTAACCTTCATTTTTTACATAAATTAGTTCCTGATATCTGTGACTACAGATTTCCTGGCGAACATTCTTTCATTAGACATTACCAATTGGTTACACATTAACACATCTCTCTACTGAGTCTATTCTTAGGTCTAGGTCTAAAACTCTTATTGAACTCTAAGATGATAAAACTTCTTTTCGCAAGGATAGTTTTGTGCTTTAACGCATAAACATACTAATTATTATCCATTCATTTGATATTTTAATCAATTTAACATTGAAATTTGTTTCTCTAAAGCATTTTTAATACATTCGTTCACTGTTCGCTAAAGTTGCGTGGCCGTGTTGAGATAGGCCTATATTCATTCATGAATAAAGGTCACACATGCGCAACACAGAATGAACTCTATAAAAGCCAATTTTTAACTCTAGATTAGTGTAGATTTAGATCTATGTCTACCTCAAGATCTACTTTATACTTTAACACATGAACATACAAAATTAAGTCTATTCATTTCAAATTTTAATCAAATATATGTAGGCCTACAAGCAAATGTTTTCATTTGAAAAAATGGATTTAAGTCTATTAGCTATTTTTATTTTATAGCTTCATTCACACTATTTTTACATTGACACATTCGCTTTACTTATTACATTATTATTTCGTTTTGTGACTATATCAACAGTAATGCGCAAATAAAGACCTGCGGGTTGCGGGTAACATATGTCTAGTTATTACATATAGTTATATTATATCATATAGTTATTTAATAATAAATAGTTATTAACTGTGTTTTT